CTTGGGTGCGTGTGTGTGCATGGGTCCCTCTGTGTGTGTGTGTGTGTGTGCAATGCCGCAGTAGAAGGTGTGACTGGAAAAATTGGAAAGGAGAATGCGATGTGCTTGTGGTTTGTGATTCCCTTGATGGTGTGCTTGTGCAGACCTTTTGGTGGGACTTTCAAGGACTCATCAGGAGGTTGAACCCCTACGGTCTGTCCAGAATCCAATTGACTGACGAATGACTCCTCACCATACTCACCCGAAGGTAGTGATATCCTCGAGATAAGTTTGACTTACGTGGCTAGGTGGAAATACTGCTGAGAACGGCAGTATTTCTGAGAAACCAGTCCATTTTTTCAGGAGTTATTTGAGGGGCTTGTTTAAAATGTTTTTTCTCACATGTGGGCCCCAGCGAAAAAGGAAAAATGAAAAAAAGAGTGAGAGGGAATGTGGGGGTAAGAAATTATATTATGGACTCCCTTTCGGAACGGAAGAGATCAAAGAGTTTTGTTCAAATGTCCTGCCATGGATTCTTGTTTGGAGCTCACTAAGAAAAGTCGTGTTGTGATTTTTTGTTAAAACGGAAATTCTATACAAAGTGCATCAAATTGATTGCTGTTTTAGGTGGGTTGGGGGAGTGGGTAGAGGGTAGGGGCGGTGAACCGGGTTAATTAAGGCTATGAAGGCTAGATCTTTTACAAAGGAGGACCGTTAACAGGGGGTAGGGACGGTGAACTGGGTTAATTAAGGCTATGAATGCTAGATTCTTTACGGAGGAGGATCTTTAGTCTGCACAATATGCACCCTTCAAATGGTCCAAATTGGCTGAAATCCCCACCACCCCTGTTTCTTCCCCCCCTCCCCGCCCCACAATTGAAGCCACTCGGATAAAAAATATAAAAAATATGAAAATTCTGGAGTCTTGTAACCTGTCTTCGGTGTCTCTGGCACTGTGAAGAGTAATGTGGCTGACGAGATGCCCTGAGTGGAAGAAGAAAATTGTAAGTGAAAATAGAAGAAAGGGTATACGGATGATACTAGGAGCCGTGTGGATACCACGATTTGACTACTCTTAATGACCCGAATTTGGGCCCTTGGAAGAATGAAACAGTGCCATTCGGGGATATGGACTTGTCCTCTGTTCTGGCATTCCCGTCCTTGTATGTGAAAGGAAGGACATATCGACGATAAATACCCGAATCCCCCAAAATCGGGACCTTAAAAGGACCAAAAAGAGGGTTTAAACTGGGTATTCCCTCTGTTTTGAGATTGCCGATTGCCGACTTGTAGTTTGTGCACTGGGTATTGTGAAAGTGTTCGACTAGAGTGAGAAGAGAAACCTTTTTCTGAAGTCGTAGCCTTCGTTCCTGTTTTCACTCTTTGGGGGAAAAGGCACCGTTTATGCTTGCTGGACTTACGAGCTTGGGGGAAAGGGTGGTGGAAAAAAGATGGCAGAGGTCATCTAGTTTGAAGTGAGGATTCTGCCTCCCTTGTGCCTGGCTGGATGTGCTCCATGGGTGCCATGAGAAGAGAAACCTCTCGCTGTGAAGTCGTAGCCTTCGTTGCGGTTTTCACCCTTACCTTTCAAAAATGCACTTGAACTAATGAAGTGCTTGGGGGGAAAAAGGGGGCAAGTTGAGTGCAAAAAAGATGGAGAAGGTCGTCTAGTTTGAAGTGAGGGTGCTGCCTCACTTGTGGCTGGCTGGATGTGCTCCATGGGTGCCATGTTGGGTTCTGCTGGTCGGGAATCAAATGCTCCTGATTTTGAATCGATTTCAATGAGTCCGTTGAAACCGTCAGATTCCCCTTTCTAATGAACCAGATATAGGTTAGAATCTTTAGATAGGGGTCCAGGCCCTGCCCATTAGGTTACGATTAGGAGTCCAGGCAGGGTGGATAATTCTCCATTGTTTGGGGGAACTTCGGCATGCATGGAAGGGGGTGTGTGTGGTCTTTGGATTTTTGCTCGTGGCATGTGTTGAGCCAAACCCGGTGTTGGAGTTGGCTTACAATCTGTTCCCACTGTGCTTGGTTATAATATACTCCCATGGTGCTTTTTTTCATGGAGGTCCAACGAACCCCCAAAACATATCCAAGGGAGTAGAATGGCACCTTCGCTGCGCCTTGCACCTGTTGCCTTGTTCGGATGAGGTGCGCCGCAGTTCAAAACGGTTCCAAACAGTTCCAAACGGTTCCAAATGGTTCCAAATGGTTCCAAACGGTTCCAAATGGTCCCAAACACTTCCAAATGGTTCCAAACGGATCCAAACAGTTCCAAAATATCTTTTTGGTCCTGTTGCAGGTCTCTTCTCTGAGCAGAAGTATTCTCGACACCTAGAATAACAACTACATCTGCGAAACTTGTCTCGACATGATTAAAAGTAAATGAGCAAAACCAGGTGCTTAAAAGTTTACTTGGTAAGGATGGTTGCTTCTATTTTTCTATTGCTGACTAAATTAAAAGTAAATACTAAATATACACCAAATTCTCCTTCGGGTGCGTCGACAGACGTATTCATAGAAGAATGTGGTCCAGACGTTCTTCCGTGTACAGTTTGAAATGATGAATGTCGCCTGGCCCCATGTGTCCTGTCTCTTATAATCTGACTGTGGGGATAGGGGAGGAGTACAGCACAGCTCGCAATGGGTGTATTTTTGATGGACTGAAATTTGGCTGGGCCCAAAACTGTCCCCAAATAATAATCTCAACTTTGCAGAGTCTGCACTGTGGGTTTCTTGTACGTGTCCGAGAGGTGAAATTACGACTAGAAAAAAAAAAAAAAAAAAAAAAAAAAAAAAAAACCCACCGGTACAGGATGCTGTGGTGGAGCCCCTGAAGAAGTGCTCTGGATGGGGTAGAGGGTTGGTCTGTGACAGCCTTCCCCTTGGACATGTGTCTAGCGCCTCAAGGGTAAGGCAGCCCTTGAATCTGCAATGTTTTCCCTCTTCTGTGCTGTTGTGGAACTATCCTTGCCCGTGATATGCAACCGGGCCCCCAGATTGGAAGGGGTTTGTATATTTGTTGTAAAAAAAAAAAGAAAAGAAAAAAAGAATGCTGTGGTGAACCTTGGTGTTCCTATTGAGGTCACAGTTTCCCTTTTTTGTTTTTTCTTTTTCTTTTTTTTTTGTCGGAGTATGCCTCTTGAAGAAGATCTGTTGTGGTCGTGGAGTATACTCAAGACTGCTGTCTTCCCCTGAAGACAATGTTCGGTCATTATCGCTGTACCGAAGACCGAAAGTTCGCCCCAAATACAGCTATAACGCTAGTATAAAGACCATATGTTCTATTCAGGGAAAGGCGGTAGGGGCTGTCTTGAATGGGCCTGGTCGGAATTGGGACCACATGCAGGCAACACAGACGTATATGCCTTCAATTCTGTGCGCATTCTTGTTCAGTTAGTTGTGGAGAATGTCTTAACTAGGCCTGGGACAGCAGTAGCGGACCCACATCTTTCACGTGGAATGTGACATTATGAGAAGTGGTCTTTGCTCCCTAAAAAAATCTTTGCTCCCGAAGAAAGCAAGGAATAGGAAAACACTCCCATCTGAGTCCATCATGAAGATGATTTTCTGTTGACAAAGAGTGTTCCTTTTATGGGGATTATAAGAGGTGGGCCCCACAGTAGTGGATGGAGTAGGGCCATCTTATTCACGCTTCCAGTTTGGTAGGGTGATTGGGGTGTGGTGACAGAGGTGCATTGGCTGCTTCGGCGATGAAGGGGTGCTGAGGAGATTGCTGTCATCCAGCCTTTGTTTTTCTGTTTTTTTTTTGCTTTTTGTTTTCGTTTCCTCCAGCAACGAAAGTTCGATGATGTTTCTGGTGAGGCGGGCAGTGCACATGTTGCTACTGTTATGTTTTGCGGTCGAAAAACGTTGGCAGACAAAAAAAAAGAGCAGAAAAAGAGGAGAGGGGGGGTGGGGGGAGGGGGAAGATCATAGTGGGGGAAGATCATAGTGACAGTGCATGATTGAGGGTATTGGCAATTTTTGGGATTTAGGTTTGCTTTCTTTGCTTCTTTTAGGGGGAAAAAATGTTGAAATGCCCCGGAAAGTTGGGGTATGTCGTCAGATACCCCTAAAAAGCTATGGATACGGCAAAATGCCCCTATGACAGTAGTGAACTTTGTGAAGTACCCCACTCACCTATTGGACCCATCATCTTTTGCATATACGTCTACTGGCCCCTTGGCAACTTATTGGACCCATCATTTCTTGCATATACCCCTACCCTTGGCAACTTATTGGACCCATCATTATTTTGCATATACCCCTACTGGGCCCTTGGCGACTTATCTAAATGGCGCAGTATTTGTGTCCCTTGGACCCTGCAGATGTTGAAAGAAATGCACGGGCCCCTGCATCTGGCGAAGTTGCCCATGACCAGGACAGGGGCAGATGCAGAAGTTCGGGGCAATTTGACATATCCCTGTGTTTTAGGGGTATGTAGTGAAATACCCCAAGTTTAAGGGGTATTTCAACTATTTTCCCTTCTTTTTATCTTTTGGTGCGCGTAGCTGCCATGCAGTGAGGCTGAGACCAATCAAATAATCTGAGTGAGGACGCCGCCCCCGATAAACCGGGCGGGCCAAAAAGCCGTCCAGAAATATATACATACATATTTTTTGAAACCGGGGTTGTTCTGCGCTTGGCGAGAGGACCCCGAATCTGCAATAAAATTTTGGTTTTGGGGGGTGGTGGTGGGGGTTTTGGTCTGGGTGGGGGATGCTGGTGTTGAGGGGGTGTCTGTGATGTGGCGCAGATGCGTTTTTTTCTTCTGTTTTTTTTTGTAAGGGGTGTGTGTGTATACAAGCGGGAGAGAGAGAGAGAGAGAGGGAATGGATCCCCTTAACACGGCTTAGATGGCCCATGCAGGGTATCTGAAGGGTACTCACAGCCATGTAGCGCAGACCCCCCCACCAAAATCGAGGCAGGCAGAGAATATGAAGTAGAGCACGAGCTGGCCGAATATATACTCAAGATTCAAAATTAGGTCTGTGTTTCAGCAATGGGTTGCTCACGTAGCTAGGCCCTGTTGGTCTCTGCACGTGACTCTTAGGGCTTGGCTGCACTACTCACAAAATGTGCAAAATTAGAATGAATCTTCTGCAGAACGTGGAATAATACACCACCTGTCTTTTGTGCCTTTGGTGAGTAGAGGCCCTCATATGGCGGCACAAGAAAGAACATGAAAGACACACGGGTGCCAATGCCGGCACAAGAAAGAACATGAAAGACACATGGGTGCCAATGCACTGGACATGCAGTTTGAGCAAGTCACTTGGGTTCAGGAATGAGAGAAGTCTCATGGAGTCAAGGAGGGGAGGGAGGTGGAAGGCTTCTTGCAGGAAAACTGCTCAATCAATCGGCTTTTTGCAGGAAAACTGCGCGTTCTTTGATCGAGTCATTGCAAGAAGCTGATTGACGAAGCAGGCTTCCAAGAACGAGCTTGGTGTTGTTGATCTTGTGTGGCCCATTTGCTCTCTGATTGCTGACTGTGCCAATGTGTCATTGCACTTTTCCTTGTGCATCTGTCGCGATTCGCTTGTTTTGTTATGCAACAGCGGAACTGCTCAAGTTCTACGAAGACATGTACAGAATGCGGCGCATGGAGATTGCTTCTGACAATTTGTATAAAAGCAAGTTTATTAGAGGTTTCTGCCATTTGTACGATGGACAAGAGGCGGTAAGCATTGGCTGATCATGTCTAGGGCTGGGTTGATCAGATCTGGAAACCTTATTTCGACCCCACTGGAGGTGATTGACCATAAGTGGAGAGTATATTGCATCTTTCCTGTAAATTAGAAGGTGGTGGGAGTGGGCACGGAGAGAGAGAGAGAGAGAGAGAGAGAGAGAGAGAGAGAGAGAGAGAGAGAGAGAGAGAGAGAGAGAGAGAGAGAGAGA